AAGGACGTCTCTTAAAGCACAGACAATGTAATTAGTATTGCTGAAGTTTTGTATGGCTTTAAAGCAAGATAAACTATCTTTGCAAATTACAAATTTTCCTTTACTTTGCTTAGAAAAATTAAAAGCGTGAAGAATGGCAGTAGCTTCAGCTGTGAAAACAGAACAGAAGGGTAGCAGAAGACCGTACGATATAGGTATATTATTTTCTTTCACAGCAGCGAAAGAGGTGTTAGAAGATTTAGATCCATCAGTAAAAATGAACTGCCAGCCACTCGATTTGAACTGATTTGCAACTTCAGAGAATCGGGCTATGTACTCTGAGCTAGTTGTGCTGGATTTAGGAAGGGTAACAAGATCGCTGACGAATGATCCTTCTTTAATTGTCCATGGCGGGTGAAGAGTATCCCGAGGTATAGGCTTTGTTAGCGGTAACTGGTTGTCTCTTGCATACATTGCACATTTATAAATGGTGGATTGAACCTTAGGCAACCGCTTCCGTGAGGCAGCTCTATTAAAGTCTTTCAGAAGCAGAGGGTTGGAGTCAGTGACGAATTTTGGGTAGAGCTTATAGATGGAATCTACCATTATGTCGTTTAACGAAGGTAGCCCAGCTTCAGTTAACATATTCTTTATTGGAGATGTAGGGAAGGCGCGAAGAGAGCGGCGAACAGCAGTATGGTACGGAGCTGCTAGCATCTTAAGATTAAGTTTGCCATGATGCCCATATATTTCTAGTCCATAGCTGATAAGTGAGCGCTTGCACCAAAGATACTTAATAATACTTAAGCTAGAAAATAGTTTATCTCTTGTATGTTTACAATGATCTTTGAATGAGTACTTAGAGTCTAATACAATGCCGAGAAACTTAAGTCTATTTGTACAAGGTATATTTATATTATTAAAAGACAGTAAAGGAATAGTACAATTTCGTTTCTTACAAATATGTATCCATTTGGATTTAGAGGATGAGATTGAGGCGCCTGAAGAACGTGACCAATTGTATATGATAGATAGAATCTCAGTAAAAGATACCATAACCGAAGATAGATTAGAAGTTTTAGAAAATAGTAGCAAATCATCAGCGTAAATAAGATGGCTGACATTAGGAAATTTGTTAATGATGACACTAATTTCATCAAGTGCAATAATAAAAAGAATAACAGAAAGAGGGGAACCTTGTGGTGTTCCATTATCAATAGGAAAGGTAGAAGAGAGAATGTTAGAAATGAGAACACTAATTTTACGATTCGAAAGAAAAGATTTTATAAAATTGTATATACGAGGGCCAACTTTCCATTCAATAAGCCGTCTTAATACCACATGGATGCCAATACGGTCAAAAGCTTTTAAAAAATCTATCGAGAGTAACGATATGTGATTTCTGGAAGACAATGCTTCCGAAAAAAAATTATCTAAATGCAAAAGAGCGTCAATAGTGCCCTGCCCCCTGTTAAATGCAACCTGGTTAGGGTGGAGAAACTTATTCTTATGAACATACCAGGTGAGCCTGGATGCAATAACCTTCTCCATCAGTTTACCAAGGCACGGCAGGAGGGAAATAGGGCGGTAACTACCTACCTCGCAGGGGGGTTTACCTGGCTTCAAAATTGGTATGATCGAGCTCTTCTTCCACAAAACAGGGTAATCCCCAGTGCTATAGATGTTGTTATAATGTGATACAATACGGGAAAAAAAAAGAAGGGAGATGTTTTATGATGGTATAGGAGATCTTATCTATGCCAGGTGTTTTGCCACTAACAGTGGATAGAGCTGTGCGGAATTTAAGTAGAGAAAGATTAGCATCTAATAGCTTGGCAGAGGAAGATAGAGCGTTAGGAGGGAGATACGAGGATGAGATAATTGAACATTTAGTAGAATAAAATTGAGAAGGGAGACTAGAGTCAGAGGAGTTATTGAAATAATAGAGAGCAAATTCTTCAGCTATATCCCGTGGATATAGAAGTTTGCCTCGAGGTGAATTAATTGACGTGATGGATGAGGAAGATGGAAATCCAGTTAGCCTTCTTATATCCGACCAAATTTTTTTGGTGTCACAAGAAGAGTTAATGGAGGAAGTGAATTTTGGAAGCAAGACATTTTGGCTACTTTAGATGCACGTCGAAATAAAGCGTAAGATTTCTTGTAATGAATAAGATTGGTTGAGGTGCGATTACGTTTGAATTCATGCCATTTACGTTGTTTATATTGTCTTAACTCAGCTAGATCACTGTTCCACCATAAGGGGGTAGGCCTAACAGGTTTCGATGACGATACAGGGATAGATTGATTAGCTGCGCATCGAATAATTTTATGAATCCTGGAAGTTTCCTGATTGATATTGGAGGAGGGTGGAAATGAGTTGGAAAATCTAAAACAGGAGTCTTCAAATTTGACCCAGTTAGCTAAATCTGTTTTAAACAAGGATCTGGGCTTATAGGTCGTTAAAACACGGGAAGTAGAGATTTTGGTGACTATAGGAAAGTGATCACCCCCATGAAGATCATCTATTGGATGCCAAGAACATTTAGAGGATAGAGAAGAAGAAGAAAGGGTGATATCAATATGAGTAAAGGAAGAGTGAGTAGAAAAGTGGGTGGGGGATCCATCATTCAGAATAATTCCATTAGAAGTAAGTAAAAAATCTTCAATTTGACGACCTTTAGAATTAGCTGAAGGAGAACCCCAAAGGGGACTCCAAGCATTGAAGTCACCTGCTATAATATAGGGAGTAGAGGAAGAAGGAGTAAGATTATTAAAGTCGGTTAAAGAGAAAAATTCATTAGGAGGAGAATAAGCACAAATAATTTAAATTTTGTTTGCTAACTGGAGCTCTACAGCAGCAGATGATATAGAGGAAGTAGGGTAATAGGTAGAATGAGGCAGATTTCTTTTAATTAGGATTGCAATGCCTTGTTTACTATTGGTAATTTGGGGGAGGTTGTAGAAGTGTCCAATATAAGCTTTAGGAGTAGGGGCTATGATATTATGTGCAAGGTGGGTTTCATTTAACAAAACGACTGAGGGGTTAATAGTTTTAATTAAGTACTCTAGTTCAATATAGTTATTTAAATAACCATTCATATTCCACTGCAAGAGAGAAATCATGAAGGCAAGAAATAAAAGAAAGAATTACTAAGGGCCGGTTACTCAATGTCTGGTTAACACTAATCTGCGGTTAAACATCGTTACCGACGTCTTCGACTCCATGCATATAACAGGGAGTCGGTAACGTCGATAACGATGTTTAACCGCAGATTAGTGTTAACCAGACATTGAGTAACCGGCCCTTAGATGAAGAGGGTGGAGAGGAAAACTCGAGTATTAGGTGGGGAGAGAGGAATTTGTTGGGAAAAGGAAAGGCGAGAGACGAGCATTGGGGAAGGAGAAGGGGTGTTGGGTGACGAGTTATCAAAGTTGGTAACGGGGGAGAAGTTAGGGGATGGAGAGGAGTCTCCATTAGAAGGAGAAGAATTAGATGCGATGGAAGATTCATATTTTGATTTAATGTTGTTTTCAGTTTTTGTTGATGATTCTATGATTTGGTTGGATGTTTTTGTTATGTTTGCATAGGAATTAGCTTTGGGAGTAAACGGGATTTGGCTGTTATATTTTTTAATGGCTTCACGCATTGAACACTTATTTATAGTTTTAACATTGAGGATCTCTCTCATCTGTTGGAATTTAGGACATTGGTTCGATGAGGAAGGGTGGTTGCCTGAACAATTAGCACATAAGACTCTAGTGCAGTCTGATGGAGTATGGGGGGGGAAGTGTACACGTGGCACAGACTGGGGGATTATGGCAATGCTTAGCTGTGTGACCAATAGATTGACATACCTTACAACGCATAGGGTTAGGGTAGTATGGACGAACGTCAAGAATCCTCCAGGCGACCTCAATTTTTTCCGGGAGAGTATATTTATCGAAGGTTAACAAGATGGCGCCAGAAGGCTTACGTGTGCTATCAATAATTTTTGGAAAATTTATAAGCAGCTGTTACTCCTTGTTCCTTGAGGCCTTCAACTATTTCGTCTTCGGAAACGTGGATTAAGAAGGGCGCATAAATTGTGCCTTTTACCGAATTGAGGTTATTGTGTAACTTTATAGAAATATTTCCAACACCGGGTAATGTCTTAGCATTCAGGAACCTATCAGCAGCTTTCTTATTCTTAGCAAGCAGCAATAAGCTGCCATCACGAAGCTCAGAGATGACGTTGCCCTCACTGCTTATGGCTTGAATTCCTTTATGAATCGCAAAGCACGAAAAAGTTGTAATCGGTTTTTTATCATCAGATGATTTTATAATTATGAATTTCGGGTCATCCTTTTTCATGATCGGGAGTCCAGGGAAAGGGTCCAACTGCGTTAAATCAGGTTTTTTTCGTTTTGGTTTCGGGGACGTAAATAACAGGGCACACCTGTTCTCCCCAAGGTAGGTGGCCCCCGGGGCCATTTCGAACACACAAATAGGTATTTACGCACTTGGTTTTAATCTTTATTTTTAAACAAAAAATATATAAAGTCAGTTGAATGAAGAAAATAACTGTAACCGTAACCGTAATATAACTGTTTTTTACACAAAGTCTATAACGTTTATAAGATAGCGGGAAACACAAGAGCAAAATCAAAAAATGCAACCGTTCACTGAGAGAGCTAGTAGGTAACTGTTCAATTGTTTTATTAGATGTTTTGCCCAATAATGAGCAGCAAACAAATGAAAAAGTGAGGCGAACAATTTTACGCGATCGCAGCAATCACATATAAATACAGTATGCAAAATACTGTTTTCTCTTTCGCTATTTCAAACTATCATTTTATATTTTATAGCTTTCTTGCACTCCTCAAGATTTTGAGTGACTTGCAACCTTATGTACACAAAAAGTTCCATTCCTGGGAGCATAGCGAATGGACCAACATCGCTTTGGGAAGGAGCACCGTACTATTGCCGACGTTACCGACACAATGTTGTCAAATACATTAACTATATAAAAACATTAAAGTACGTATTTATACTTCTTAACATATTTTCCGTATTTTATTTAGGAATATACTTTAATAAACGCAATTCCTGGCTTAGCCAAAGAGCAAGAGACAACAACAGAAGGGAACCGGACTGATGAGCTGTAGCGAGAGGAGCAGGAACGTGATTTAACAACGTGGTTACACCTAAAGTTGCTTGCAACCAAGCCATAGCCATCGTGGTATTTACAGCGTAACGAGCACGTTTTGGCAAAATACATCTCTTTGAATACATCCATAGTAAGGAAACTGCCACAACAGTAGTTATTCCCAATATCCTGTGATCAAATTGGACTGTTGTCGGATTCTCCGTGAAATTCCTTTGCACAGGTTCAAATGATAGAATGTCGTCAGGAATCCACTTATCAGCCATTTTTGGAAAGGAATTGTATACTAATCCAGCATCTAGACCCGCAACGAAAGCTCCAGATATCGCCGTAAGAAATACAAGTCCCTTAGTCACATAAGCTAAGTTTTTCAAACGAAAAACGTTTTTTGAAGACGTGACAATATTCGCAGGTGGCATAAATTTTCTCAAACCTGATGACAAAAATAAACTATATATGATAAATGCGACGCCCAGATGTGAAGCCAATCGATATTGTGACACTCTAGGTACATCGTTTATGTCCTGAAATTTGTCCTCAAGCCCAGATTTGACCATAAACCAACCCATAAGGCCTTGTAGGCCAATAAGTGCTCCAAGTACTAAAATATATTTTTTAGTTGCATTGGTAAAATATCCCCGTCTCCAAAAATAAATAGCTGGAATAGCAAAAACAGCGCCAATCCCGCGTCCCCACATTCTATGTATATATTCCATCATATATATAAATTTGAACTCTTCTAAAGTCATTGACCTATTTTTCCTAAAAATTGAAGAAAATGTACCTAATGTAATAATTATTATCCAAAACAATTCAACTTACATCTTGAATTCAGGGAATTGCTGGTATTTATGGAATTCAGCTTTCCATTCATCCAAGTTTGATGGCTTTTTTTCGCCAAGCAATTTCCAGTTCACCATCGATAAGCCTGACTCAGTTAGCCTAGTTACGCCACCTATTTAAATGCAATTTTAAAATTGTAAATAAATAAATTCCATCTGAAGGGAAGTAAAACATACCTAGAGCCACTGCGACATACACCATACCACTACAACCAAGCAACCAAGCTCCAATAATTTTTTCACCCCTCCTCTGTGTGCTATTGCAGCGAATACTCCAAATACTCGTATTTAAATTAATGTCCTGCGATACATATATGAGAAAAATAAGAAGGTATATCGAACTACATAAAGTTGCCTTAATTCACAAAGGCCTTAATTAGCAAATTTTCTATTTTACAGAAGCAAAAAACATTAAAAAAAGTAGATCATAAACTTAAGATACTAACACTGTTTTTGATACTAACACTTTCCAATTTTTAGAAATAAAATGTATTTTAAGATAGCCTATCAAAATTTGTACAAAACGCAGTTTCGTAAAGTGCTGGTTAAGGTCTTTGTGAATTAAGGTAACGACGTGTACATATTATATATTAATATAAATTTGCGATATCAATTATATTTACCCACTAAACAAAGGCATCGGAATTTGTCGGAAATCAGACTTTTCAGAACTCGGTGCTGATCATGGTGGAATAAATAATTTTTATTTCATCATCGTTGTTTTCGGAAAAATTGGGAATTGTTTAGCTATTTGTACAACGATTTAGGGGTGGGGGCGGGGGGGGAGTGGGTGTGGGCCCCACAAATCCCCCCTAAACGAAAGAGGATTGACGCCGCTTTATGAAAAGTAGGGGAATTTTATATTTTTTGCAAGGAAAAAACAAAGTTAATCATGCGTCCGAAGAAGGGGGGCTGAACACCTTTCTGCGTAGGCGGCCTTCGGCCACGCTTAGGGATTATAACCCTTATAACCCTTATGTCTGTGTGACATAACTGGGGCTACCGTCCCAGTGATGTAACCTTGGGAAAGGATGAGGTAACTAGAATTCCCTTTCTGTGTGGTAAACCTGGGGCTGCCGCCCCAGTGATGTCTATTTTGGTTACTGGGTGTTTTATAAAAATATATTGTATATAAAAATGTATAACAAAAATTTGCAACAAATACCATATTTCCAACCGACATTATTGTTAAATTAGTGCACAGATTAAGTAAATTAAATTTTTGTAATAAAGCGTGAACTGTTGTCTACAAGTGTGTGTAAAAGTTTTTTGATTCGATTCACGCGTTTGGGCACAGCAACCCAAAATCGTTGTACAAATTCATAAACAGCACCCGAAAAATCTTTAGATGCGACGTAACGATTTCAGTAAAGAAAATCGAAACAAATTGGTTGGTGGGTATTTACGGATACCATAACCATTCTTAATAACATATAAGATGCGTTCCAAATGCTTCACGATTTGGAGGTTTGTACAGGAAACCGTTCCAGGTGACCATCTTCCACCTTTTCCTGTAAAACCGGCAAATCGTAAAGCATCTGGAACGCAACTATATGTCATTACGAATGTACATGTGTATGTACATAAACAAAGTTGAGTGAATATTTTACCTTTTGAAATCGGATGTTAAGTAAATGGTTACGTCGGTATAATGCACTCCGGCAAGCAGCAGTGAAAATTCCATTTTTGTTTAGAAGAATTCGTGAACACCCGAACATAATTTGAAAATTTATAACAAATTAACTAATTGACGTATTCGCTCATTTCACCATCAGCACTAGAGGTGCAAAACTATCGATGGCACTATCGATAGTATCGATGTTTTTTATTTTTCCCTACTATCGATTGTTTTTTGGTCCTATCGATAGTCCGACAGACATGTGATTCAGTATTTATTTTAGTTTTATTTCTTTTTTTCTTTTCATTTCTCTTAAACATCCAAGTTGAACTAAAAATTTGGTTGCTACTTTTTTAAAAGAGTAATGTCAAATTTCGAAAATGACGGAAAACCTTGCATCTTTTAAAATACCGCTAAAAACTGATACAAATTAATTTATACCAAAACTTTCAATATTTACCACCACTATTTACTATTTACGAAAAGGTAAATAAAAACCATTAATTCTCAGATAAAAAATGGTTTCCTCTTCTAAAATTGAAATTTACTTGATGAATGCCTTATATATGACGGAGGATATCTAAAACCACAAATATAAAATTTCAGTATGCCCAATTTTTTTCCATTTCAATTCATTTCAAATTTTCAATAACTTTACTTCTAACTTAACGGTTAAACAATTAAAAAAAGTGTACAGTAGTTTACAAGAATATCCAAACGTAGTTTCGAAATATATTCTTAAGGAAATCTTCATACGAAAATTGAGCGAAAACCATATAAATACGATACTATCGACGATATATCGATAGTTTTGAAAATAATATCGAAAACTATCGATGGTCTGACTATCGATAGTTTTGCACCTCTAATCAACACAGTATATACCATGATAAAAACATAGCAAGGTAGAACCGTTCTCTCAATTTGTCGGCCATGATTTGTTTTTGAAGTTTGCCAACATTTTAAAATCATATAAAAGTGAAAACAAAAAATTGAAATTGTTCGAAATTGTTGTTGCTTGCGATTGAAAATGAAAATGTGTGTGTGAGCTTGTGAGTAAATTTAAAAATTAAATTGTTTGGAAACGTCAAGAATTTTAAAAGTGACTCTCGGCGGTTCTACCTCACTATATTTTTATCATGGTATATACAGTAATAAACCTTTTTGAGTACTCCTCGGGGGTAAAATCTGATCAGGGTTGAAAATGAGAATGTTGATTCAGAGTTGTATACAAAATTACTGTGGTATGAAAGGGAGCAACAACCGTACTATGGCCGAGTGGCGCAAGTCATGAATGTGTAATAGTGCCCGAAACTAATTGCAAAAGTGTAAAAACATTGCAAATAATTGTCTATTATTATAGATACTAGTACAGATAGCTCATAGTTCATAGTTCAGTGTATAATAATTAATATTACACCGTACATGATAATGAACTGTTAAATGCTGAAAACGCTTGTAACTTGTAGATCACTCAAACTTGGGTGTGCTTAATGGACTGTCTGGGCGGATGCGCTGGCAGGCATTGGGCTCTGTATAGCTATACAAACCTTGTTTTTTTTTTTAATAAAAACTTTAATATATTCGGAAATTTAGAATTTTGCTTGATAAATTCACAAAATTTACGCTTTTCATAAAAATATAATCTTACAATGGACTTTTTTTATTTTAAACTTACGTTTAGAAAACTCCATTCAATGCTATAATTACGATTTGAGTTTTCCAGTTTATAAAACACAAGCGTTAATTACGTACTTAACTATTGATATTATTCCTCATTAAGCATGTATATCAGCATACATTAAAGATGAATATTATACTTCACCTACATTTTGTTCGTAAATAACACATAATTATGTATATTTTATCCTCGAAATGAACTTTTTCTAATCATGACTCGAAATTCCTCACAGTAAGTGTTGCCGTGCGAACAAAACGAAAGCGCTGCACACAACCCAAAAGTACTCCTCGGGGACCAAATGGTGAAAAACTGCGAGAAGGTTTATTACTGTATATACTGTGCCATCAGTCTCGTTTCTATCAAGGCGAATTTATACAAGGTCAAGGCGAATTTATAAATTCGCCTTATATAGGGTGATCGCCAAGGCGAATTTAAACAAGTGGTGTTGATGGCGAATTTAGATTTTCACCGCTGTACTTAATGTCAAAATAGTGTGTTTGTTGTAATATTAATTCGCCTTGTTTACAACAAACATCAACATCAACACCACCTTATATACATTCGCCTTGGACATTAAGAAGTACCGCGGCGAAAATCTAAATTCGCCAGTAACACCCCCTTGTATAAATTCGCCTTGGTCAAAGTGATGTGTTTGTTGTAAACAAGGCGAATTCATATTACAACGAACGCATCATTTTGACCAAGGCGAATTTATACAAGATGGTGTTGTAAAATCAGCTGATTTCTTCGCCTTACATGTATTTTGGTTTTGCTTTTACTGATTTGACAGCACACCTATCAAAAGCAAAAACAAAATACATGTAAACTTTAGAGCGAATTGAAATTTGACGTAACACCCGCTGTTGAAGACGGCGACCAATTTAAATGAAACGCACGAAATATTTATAACAATACAGTTTTGTATAGTTTTAATATCTGATGGATGTGGATAAAATTTGATCAGTAAAAAAGAAAATTCATTACAATCTGAAGCAACTTACTTATTCGTGCTCTTCGTGTGATTCGTTCCAAAAGAAAGAACCGGAAGCGTACAAACAATATGGCTACAAATTATGCAGAGTTGCATATAATAGTACATAGTTTTAGAAAAGAATAAATAAATCGATATCAAAGTATTCAGTACAAAGTGTTTAGCAAATAAACCGGTATTATCCAGAATCTAAGTTTTATCAGTAACATTCTCCTCTCCGTGATTCGAATCGCTGACGAGAGAATTACCCTTTACATCGAGTACGGCAATCTTTGATGCAGGCCGTCCTAGATTTCCCGCAGTGGTTTGCACCACCACTGACCTCACTTGACCATCCGCAGCCACTGTTGTCTCCAACACGATGCCTTTCTTCCACTGACTACGGCTTTCATTGTCGTCGCATACGATTACGACGTCACCAACACATATCGGTTTAACTCGTTTGAACCACTTTGCTGGTCTTGTCAAAGCCGGAAGATATTCGAGAACCCATCTCTTCCAGAACGTTTGCTTTAGCTGCTGTGCTACATTCCATTGCTTTCTCAAACACCCCATCTCTGGCACCTCAGCTGTTTGAACGAAGTTAGGACACCCCAATAGGAAGTTGTTTGGTGTAAGCGGTTCGTCGTCGATGCTCTCCAGCGGAACGTGCGTTAACGGACGAGAATTCACCAAATTCTCTGCTTCAATAAGGAGGCTTTGTAAAGTCTCCACCTGCGGAGCTCTTTCCTTTAATGTGAATTGCAGGACTCGCTTCACCGTGCGGACCATTCGCTCCCATACGCCACCTGCCGATAGATTTGCCGGAGCATTAAACAACCACTCGATACCCCTGCGACAGCATTCGTCCTCAATGCCCTTCTCAACCTGAACCCACATTTCTTTGCTAGCACCAACGAAGTTCGTGCCTCGATCGCTCCTCATACGACTAGGGACGCCCCTTCGATTAATGAAATTACGGCATACAACAATTGTGGCGTCTGTGGACAAATCCTTCGCTAGCTCTAAGTGAATAGCTCTGACCGTAAGGCATGTGAATATGGCTACCCATCGTTTTTCATGTCGACGTCCGATGGAAACCATGACTGGTCCAAAGTAATCTACGCCTGTGTATGAAAACGGTCTTACGAATGGAGTAAGTCTGTCTTTAGGGAGCTGACCCATCAATGGCGTTTGCGGAACAGCTGACAAATTTTTGCACAGCTGACAGTTTACTTTAATAGATCTTAACAGGCGGCGAATGCTTGGGATACAATACTTGCAACGTATGGCGGCAATCGTTGCTTCGAAGTTATGGTTACGAAACATTTCATGGTAATGTCTGACTACCATGCGAGAAAACAGATGACCTTTTGGCAATATTACTGGTCGCTTAGTTGACGCAGATACGCAGTCGGCGTAATCGATTCGGCCTCCCAGACGTATAACTCCTTCATCACCCAACGTCGGACATAATTTGTACAGTGAACTGTTTTTATTTACGGATGCACCTTTGCGCAACGTCTGCATTTCATCCAAAAACTTGACTTCTTGGACTAGGCGGCAAACCAGAACCTCAGTTTGTTTGATCTGAGGCCCTGACAACGAACTAGGTACGACAGAATCTTTGTTACATGCCAGGGCTCGAAACTTTATTATTGCAATTCGAACCCATGTCATTATTCGGAGAAATTTGTGTAAGTTTGTAAATTTATCAAAAGGAATTATAGTATCATCTATCTGTACTGTAAATAATGTCTTAGATCGCAACTCGAGATTGATTTCTTTCTCAGCAAAGTCATTTGGAGCAGCGGGCCAACAATCTTCATTCCACTTCAAAAATTGTGGTCCATTAACCCATTTACAGTTTGCGAAGAAGGTCTTTGGACGCGTCGCATCATCAGCCGGATTATCACTACCCGGCACCCATCTCCATTGGGGTACCTCTGACGACTGCAGAACTTCTGATATACGGTGGGCAATGAACTGTTTATAACACCTGGGGTCAGATCTAATCCATTGGATTACCGTTTTGGAATCCGTCCAAAATATTATCTTATTAGGCTTAACATCGTGGCCAGTATCAATGGCTTCCTTCAACCGCACTCCTAAAACAGCGGACTGTAGTTCTAGTCGTGGTATAGACAGCGGCTTAAGCGGGCTACACCTTGACCGCCCAGCGGTAAACACGACATCCGTTTTATTGTCATAGCTGATGCGCCAGTAAGCAACGGCTGGGAGTGCAAGCTCACTTGCATCAACAAATATATGTAGCTGAATGTCTGATTTGGCGTTGAAAAATTTTGGATGATAACATCGCGGTACCTTCAAACCTTATATGGTTCTTAAACCTTTGTACCAATGAAACCACTTCTCGTATATATCGTCCGGAATGGGCTCATGCCAATCCACGTTGCGTTGCCACAACCGTTGTAATAACACCTTTGCGCACTGAGCATTTCCCCCTTTCGTTGGCTTACGAGAACCATCTAACACAGACTTTGGCACCCTAGCGAACGACAGCTTGAAACAAAAGTAGTCCTATTTTGAACATTTGAAATTCATGCCAAGTACTTTCTCAGTTGCACCTTCACCCTCACATGTGCTAATTTCGCTTTGCGTAAGCGGCGCTGAACTACCACCAACAGCCTGCATAAGCTCGACGGAATTCGAAATTATATTTCTCAGTTCAAAACCCCCAGAGGCGTGTATTTCAATAACTTTCTTAGTGATTTCAGTCGCTTCGCCAAGTTCATCGAAGCTATCCATGTAGTCATCGACATAGTGGCGGTCGACGATAGCTTCGACTGCCTTAGGAAAAGTGTTGCGAAAAGCTTCAGCGTTCAAATTCTTTAGATATTGCGCCGAGCAGGGTGAACTAATTGATCCAAAGATCATAACACTCATAACGTACACGTCGGGTGACCGGTGGCAGTTCCCTCCTCTCCATAAAAAACGCTGAGAATTCTGATCTTCGTTGCGAATCAGTACCCTGTGAAACATTTCCCGAATGTCTCCACATAGGGCTACTTTTCCTTGACGAAATCGAAATAAAATTGTCAATAGCTCTAAGCAATTTTTCTGCTCTAATATCAGCATCGGATCGGACCATTGGCACTGATTTCACCTCAAAATTATCGGTAGCAAGATATTCGCCGATTCGCTTATTTAGTTCATGCTACTCCAACATTTCAATGTTTACATGACTCACAGTGAAATCAGTAGCACTTTCTTCATTGGACCCAAAAACTGTCCATCCCAATTTTGTTTGATGTGCTGCAAATCCTTCATCAATATTCATAACTTTAATCGGTCGAATCAAATGCGTATGTGGCAAACCAATCAATAGCTGTGGAGTTGCGTTGCAATAATCAAAAATATTTGCAGCTCTCAGCTGTTCGTGTTGACAAATGAGTTCGCCTAAGTTCAAAGTCTGCGGCGGCAAATACAATTTCTTTGTTGTTCGTACGCCGCTCATTTGATATGCTGTGGATTCTGCAAAAACACCGGCGATTTCCAATGACACTCGCCGCGATTGTTCACTTGTCGTTTGATTGCCAATCCATTTCAAGCGAAGCATATCAGTTTTACCCTTCACTCCAATGGTGTTTGCAATACTCTCCTCCATCAATGATATTTTAGCTCCTTCATCGATGAACGCAACGACCGTCACTTCGCCTTTCGGCCCTTTCAATTTGACAGGCAGATATTTCAGCAGTGTTTGCTGATGGCACGTAGCAGCTGATCTACGGAATGAACGCTGCGAAGTTTGAAAGCCACTGACTGTGGCTACTGGCATATTATCAACATCGCTGCATTTAACCGAATTCTTATTAGAATTTTCTTTATGCAGCAAACGATTGTGGAATCTGTCACAAGCTTGCACTCCACATTTACGTCGTTTTGAACAGCTGTGCAGATTATGCCCTGGCTGCAAACAAGAAAAGCACAAATTGTGTTTTTTCACAACATTCCACCGATACGAATATTCTGCATTGTTAAACTTCTGACATTTGAACAGATGGTGATTTTCGCTACACATTGGACACTTTTGCTCATCTTTGCTAATCGACATCACCGGCTTTGTAAACAATTTATTCTTGCTGTTATATTGTTCATTTGCAGATTGTTTTGCGGGCATGACATCAGTGGCCATCGATACATACAACGCGAGGTGTTGAATTAGAGAAATCTCTCACTGTGGGATATGGTTGTTGCAAGGTTAATACGTGGCGAGTCCATTCCTCTCTTTTGTTGAATGGCAACTTGCTCAACAACTCATCAAGTAATATTGAATTATATAAATGAGGGGAGGCACCGGAACTTTCAAGGAAAGCCGTCAAATTTGCAACCATTGTGCTGAAATTTAAAATATCGGAAATCTTTCCGCTAGTGACTGCAGGATACGCGCGGGCCTTTGCAATCTGGCTACGTACGAGTAACTCTGGTCGCCCATAGTGATGCTCCACAGTATTCATGACGACGTTTACATTCGAGGGATGTATTAGAAGCGATTCTACCTGTTGACGCGCCTTACTTTTAAGTGCTTTTTGCAGGCGAAGCAAATTCTCCAACTCTGTGTACGCATATAAAACAGTAGTTTCTTTATATGCTACTGAAAACATTGGCCACTCTTCTGGCGAGCCGTGAAACTCGGGCAAATCGAGTACTTTCCGAATGGGTGGATGACCTCCAAGACCCAATGGCGACTGACTATAACTAACAATTGGTGCTGCGGGTGAAATATGGCTAGAAACGTAAGGAGCTCCGGCTGTGTATACTGATGGAGCGACGGTTGATAGAGAATTCCAGTTATTGGCAACGAAATGGGAAGTGAGATTGACAAAGTTCAGGTTAGGTGGCATTGGATGAACTCCACTGGCGGAAGAGGTGACAAATAGGTTGGGGCTTGTGCCGGCATTGGCACGGGTGGTGTTAAAGGCAATAGCATGGGCGGCGTGTGAATAAATTGAATTTTGATTTGCATACATACCATTGGCAGAGGCAGCGCTGTTGGCGTAAGCGCAGGCAGTATTGTTTGTTGATGTGAATGTGTTGTTCATAGCGAGGTCTCTCGAGCTCGTTGCATATGAGGCGATTGTTGAGGTTATGTCAGCTACTGTGCTGACGGCGTGGGCGTTGTGGGATACAGCTTCCGTACTTTGTTCATTGGCAATTTGGAGGTTATTTCCAGTTTGTTGGCGACTAATAACATTTTGAAGTTGGAGCTTTTCCTCCTCCGATGAGGCTAAATCTAATTTTAGTTGTATGATTTCTTCGCGTAGCTCATCTACGGCATTTTTTCGTGGTGTAATAGTGCGATCGATTTCATCGCCGCTATTTTCGCTGCTGTTAGGCATTTCTGCAACGTTGGAGTTTTCCTTGTTGCGGCGCAGGCTATAACGTGAATGTTGTTCGGCCTTACGTGTACATGTAAGATGTGAATCTTTCATTTAAACAACATATAAAATTTACGGCAATTCAATTTGCGTTCGAATAAATATTAAAATAATGTTGAAGACGGCGACCAATTTAAATGAAACGCACGAAATATTTATAACAATACAGTTTTGTATAGTTTTAATATCTGATGGATGTGGATAAAATTTGATCAGTAAAAAAGAAAATTCATTACAATCTGAAGCAACTTACTTATTCGTGCTCTTCTTGTGATTCGTTCCAAAAGAAAGAACCGGAAGCGTACAAACAATATGGCTACAAATTATGCAGAGTTGCTTATAATAGTACATAGTGTTGGCGAACTATGTATTTTTGAATTTGGTGTAAACTTGTTGTTAGTGTCGTGAGTTATGTTGCTATATGGTGTAAACCCACTGTTAGTGTTGTCGAATTATATATTGGCCCTTCTGCCAACTCTGCTCCTGCTGGAATAATCGAAATGTTTGTCATCCCTAAATTTTGTATTGTTCATTTAAATTTTACCAGCACAGCAGGAGGGAGCAAAAACGAATGTAAGTTTATATACCTTTCTAATTTTACTTCATTACATTGTACCTATTTTATTAGGAAATAAAAACCTGCGTGAAGCCATTATGTGCTTGTCACCGCTCGTATAAAGCGAATATTGCTCGTTTTTATTCCTTTGCGTCCCTCGGTGCCGGAACATCTTTTTATTTCATTCCTTTGCTATTTAAACGTATTTGCACCCAACCCCGAGGCTTAAACATCACCAACGAAAGCCGGTTAACAGAGATCCGGACTACAATAACTAAAACCGGTTAACAGAGGCCCGGTCAACAAATTTGATTAAAGGTCGTTTGGCGGGCGTTCACGAGCATTGAACTGGCGATTTTGTGAAGCTGTCTCGACGATTCCTTGATAGTGAGGCCGCGAAGGTGAAGTGAACGAGGGTGATTGGGGTAAGTTCGGTGGTGTGTAGTGTGTGTGTTATATTTAGTCAACATAAAGCGCAATTAGCTGAGCAGGCTTCATAACGGTAGAAGCGCGTGTCTAATAGAAAATAGCGGTTTGCGGCCATTTTAAAGAACATGGTTTTAACTCGTTCAGCATCCAGTATGCAAGACGAGGACAACAACAGCAACGACGAATTGAATACGACTATGCGTGAACAGGGTGCAGCAATGAATTCGCAACAACCATTGCCACTTGAAACACAAATGATTGCTATGGCGAAGCAGTTGCAAGAGCTTACAAATGCCATAGCGAAACTAAGTAATTTAGGTGATAATGCTCCTCCAACCTCTAATGAGCAAATGGCTCCCAGCATCGCTCCCTCTTTAGTAAGTGGTCCTGAGGCAAGTAGCGCTTTAATTGTAGAAACTTTAGCAGACCTAAACCGAACATTGGCCATCACCAGATCGAATGCTAGTAGAAAGTTACACGATCTTCCAGAATTCGATGGAAAACATGAAGCGTGGCCAATGTTTCGCGAATCCTTTTATATGACCACCGAAGAATATGGCTACAACGAACGGCAAAATATGCTACGGCTTTAAAAGGCAATTAGGGGCGGGGCGCGTGAGGTAGTCGAATGTTTACTAATCCATAGCAGCAATGTACCCCGCGTTATGGAAGCATTGCACGAGCGTTTCGGAAGGTCGGAATTGTTAGTAAAAAGTCAAATTGCACGAATACGTAACTTTTCACAAATCTCAGAAAATCGTTTAGAGTTATTGGTACCTTTCGCTACGAAGGTTCAAAATTTGGCGACCTTTCTAGAATCCGCAGGGTGTGAGTACCACCTGAGTAATCCTACTCTTATGGAAGAACTACTTCTCAAGCTTCCCATACAGCGGCGTTTAGACTGGGCACGTTATGCAGCGAATATTGTACCGAGACCTACGGGGAGTCACTTCAGCAACTGGATGCAAAAGCTATCGCGTGTGGTAATCGCGGCCGGCATTACTTCAAGCTCACAAGCGCGTTCATCAGAAGAAAGAGGCGAAGCTCGAGGAAGGTTTTTTCATACGGATCACGTCCAGAGCGCCAGTCGGACTCCATGTAAGCTGTGTTCGGAGGCACACCATTTATCGAAGTAAAAGCGTTTTCTCGAAATGAATCACACATCAAGGTGGAGACTTGTGCGCGAAGGAAAACTATGTTTTAATTGCCTGAAGAGTGGTCACAGAAGCAACAGGTGTACGTACAAGCATAAATGCTCGGAGCGTTATTGCTCAAGGATGGTTCATGAGCTATTACATGCCGACGAAGCTACAAATACGGGTACGTGCGAGGTACAGTACGAGACTCAACGCTCACAACAGCAGCTGATTCTTACCAACACTACGAGGCAACCAGGGAGTTCGAAGGTGCTATTCAAGATCTTGCCAGTGACGCTGTATGCCAATGAAAATGAGATACGATGCTATGCCTTCTTGGACGAGGGTTTATCAATATCGCTGATGAACAGGAGTTTAGCTGACAGGCTCGGACTAAAAGGTACGAAAGAGAAGTTGATGCTGCAGTGGCTTGGAAACAACACGGTAACCAAGTTGGCGTTTGGGGTTGATATACAAATTTCTAACCCTTTGCCCGGAAGCAAAAAATTCTGCATGAAGAATGTCAAGGTCGTCGACGATTTACAACTCCCCAAGCAAACCATGGATATTTCTGAGCTGCAATGTAAATATAGATATACGCAGCATCTACCAATTGCAAGTTTTAATTCGGCGTGTCCTCAACTGTTAATCGGACTTGATAATGCACACTTGGGAGTAGCGAAGAGAACGATAGCAGATGGACAACAAGGTCCAGCAGTGGTCTTAACGAAGCTTGGCTGGCTAGTGTACGGCAAGGGTAGTCAACGAGAAATCTCCGAATATGAGCAGCACCATTCGTTTTTTGCGCAAGTGGGAAGCGAAGATACTTTAGAAAATTTGGTAAGAAATCACATCGAAGATGATGCCCTGAGCGTTAACTCCGAAGCAAGGCACGTAGACAGCGCCGCTATAACGAGGGCAAAAGATCTTCTCGAGCAAACAACAGCGAGAAAGGAGAGACGTTTTGAAACAGGGCTCTTGTGGAAGAGCGATCATGTCTTCTTACCTGACAGTAAGCAGATGGCAAAGAAAAGGCTGTTCGCGTTAGAGAAAAAATTCGGTCGTGATGAAGATTTCTGGAAGCAGTATACGCATATCATGGAAGAATATCAGAAGGCTATGCGTGGCGCTTGAGCGAAGAAGAGGTTCAACAAACGGGAAGTCGAACGTGGTATTTACCTCACTTCGGAGTTCGCAATATGAACAAACCAAAAAGGCTACGGCTAGTATTTGATGCCGCTGCCCAAGCAGAAGGAGTTTCTCTGAATTCAGTCCTGCTCAGCGGGCCAGACTTGTGCCAGTCGTTAACCACGATTTTTATGAAGTTCAGACAAAAGGCGATAGGTGTGTGCGGAGACATACTGGAAATGTTCCATCAAGTGGAAATACGGCGGGAAGACCAAAACTCACAACGCTTCTTATGGAGAAGGAATACTAACGAGGTCATCAGCGAATACGTAATGTCAGTCATGACGTTTTTAGCGACTTGCTCGCTATGTTCAGTTCAGTTTGTAAAAAACAAGAACGCGGAAGAGTTTCAAGCAGCCTTTCCCAACGCCGTAAAAGCAATTATTGATAACGACTATGTCGATGACTTCGTACACTGCTTTAGCACACCGGAAGAAGCCGTACAAACAACAAATGAAGTGCGTTGGATTCATAAACAAGGCGGTTTCGATTTAAAGCGGTTCGTATCGAATGCCAAGAGTGTCACTGAGCAGTTAAACGGTGATGCAGCTACAGCAGCAGACTTCAGCCTCGATAAGGATGGTTTCCCGAAAGTCCTGGGTATGTATTGGGATACTGCGGAAGATATTCTAAAATTTGCGCTTATTCTTAGTAAGGTCGATAAAGCTGTAGTCAATGGCGAAAGAAGACCCACGAAACGTGAAGCATTGGGTATAGCAATGTCGGTGTTTGACCCTTTCGGCCTAGCATCGGAGATTACATTAGCAGCTAAACTGGTGCTACAAGCTGTGTGGAGACGGAAGACGGAATGGGACGAAAGTATACCGAAAGATGCGTACGAAATGTGGCTAAAGTGGGTTAAAATGTTGGAGCAAATTCAAAATTTAAGCATTCCACGATGTTACGACGAGAATTTCCTACGAGTTCCAGTGGAGCTACACGTGTTCGCAGATGCAAGCGAGGCGGCGTATGCAGCAGTAGCATATTGGAGAATCGACGGATTAGCAGGAGCGACCAAACTGGCCTTTGTAATGGGGAAAGCGAAATGCGCTCCCTTAAAACTCACTACGGTTCCACGGTTGGAGCTACAGTCGGCGGTCCTTGCGGTCCGTCTTCGCGCTGCGATACTGCAAAACCATGATATGGTGCCTATCAAGACTGTCATGTGGAGCGATTCGAAGACAACTTTAGCTTGGATAAAATCCGACCACCGCCGCTACAAACCGTACGTAGCCCATCGTGTAAATGAAATTTTAGAGAACAGCGAAGAGTGTGAATGGAGATGGTTACCTAGCGCATGTAATCCAGCCGACTTTGGTACGCGTGTTCGAGATGAGAAACGACAATCCTTCTGGGCGAGTGGACCCGACTTCCTGCTCAAGGACGAGACGCATTGGCCAACGGCGGAAACCTATGCAGAAACTCGAGAGGAGCTTCGTGCGAAATTCGTCTCATATACGTGTGTGGAAAACGACTTCTTCGAAAGGTTCTCGTGTTTCATTCGCCTAACGAGAGTGGTTGCGTGGATGTTACGTTTCTGCGATAATTGTCAAAACAGCCAACGGGATAAAAGAGGTGGTCCGCTAACTGGAGATCGCGGAGCTATCGATCTGTCGAGGCGTGCAGAAGGCAGCCTACCCCGAGGAGTATAACGACTTAAGCCGGAAAAGCCAACTAAAATCCAGTAGCAAGCTGTTGATGGTTTCACCATACATGGATTATGCGGGTATTATCCGTATGAAGGGGCGAATCGACAATGCGGTTGCAGTCCCAATAAATACTCGCAGGCCCATCATCCTACCTCAAGCGCATCACGTGACTGATTTAGTCGTCAGCTGTTATCATCGAAAGTGGAAACATCAAAACGAAGGCACAACTATAGCAGAAATTCGTCGGAAATTTTGGATACCTCATGCACGGATATCAGTGCGTCGCGCTGCAAGAGAATGCCAATTTTGCAAAATTAAAAGAGCTCAACCTGAAACTCCGAGTATGGGTCCACTGCCGAAAGATAGGCTGACACCGTTTGTGAGGCCGTTCTCCTACGTAGGCCTGGACTATATGGGACCGTTTCTCGTCAGTATAGGACGGCGCCAGGAGAAGCGTTGGATTGCGCTCTTTACGTGTTTAACTATTCGTGCTGTACACATGGAAATCGCTAGAGATCTCAGCACTGATACGTGTTTGTTATGCATCCGAAATTTCATGAGCAGACGAGGTACTCTATTACGCATACGTTCAGATAACGCTACAAATTTTATTGGTGCCGATAACGAACTGCGAAAACAACTAACCGAATTCAACTCCGGAAAAATCGCTGACATACTTGAAATGACCGCATAGAATAGGTGTTCAATTGCCCACTAAATCCTCATGCTGGAGGATGCTGGGAGGGCCTAGTGCGCAGCGTAAAACGTGCTATGGGACATGCGCTTTATAACGAAAACCTCCAGGAGCACTGCCTTTATAGTTTAATGTGCGAAGCAGAAAATCTAGTCAACTCGCGGCCGCTAACACACATAGCAATAGACACACCCACCGACGAACCTTTAACCCCTAACCACTTCCTTCTAGGTACAGCTAACTAGGAACAAACACCTCATCCTCGCGAAGAGGAATACCGCCCGTCCAGAAAGCAGTGGAGGAAGGTACAACAAGCATAGCATCGTTTTTGGAAAAAATGGCTTTCAGAATACCTCCCAGATCTGTGCCGCCGGACAAAATGGTTTCAGCCTGTGCAACCGCTACGAGTTGGAGACGTCGTCTTGGTCGTCGATAGCAACATTCATCGTTCCCGATGGCCGATGGGTAAAGTGACTCGAGTGTTTCCTGGCAAAGACTCACAGGTCCGAAGTGCCGAAATACAAACCCAAACAGGGGTGTTCAGACGTCCTGCTTGTCTACTTGCGAAATTAGATGTTGGTGAATCTGTTTAGATTCACGGAGGCCGGGATGTTGGCGAACTATGTATTTTTGAATTTGGTGTAAACTTGTTGTTAGTGTCGTGAGTTATGTTGCTATTTGGTGTAAACACACTGTTAGTGTTGTCGAATTATATATTGGCCCTTCTGGCAACTCTGCTCCTGCTGGAATAATCGAAATGTTTGTCATCCCTAAATTCTGTATTGTTCATTTAAATTTTACCAGCACAGCAGGAGGGAGCAAAAACGAAGGGTACTGTTTAGTAAGTGGCCCACCTATTTCGGGGTATTGCGTCCAAAGGGGTGACCCGATCCAAAAAAAAAATTGCACACACTTGTAGCCAAGGGTCTACCCATTATTTTAACATCCACTATTGTAATTTTTGGTCACTAGTTTATTTACAAATTGGGTTTGAAATATGCCCTTTTTTGTAAAATTTGGAAATTAGCGTACATTTATCACTCCTATTCTCCTTAAAGCAGCCACTTCACCAATTCATTTTTGTATTCCCCTTCACTTTACACTTTACTCGATTAGTTATAACTTGATTTACGACTTTAATATTAACCAATTAATCACAATTCATTAAATAAAAACACCTTCAAAATCATGCGTCTGACTTTGGTTGCACATGCAAATTAAATGGCGGAGTTCAGCTGTCAAACTCCGAAATATGCAAAAGAATGAGAGAAAAAAGAAGATAGGATATAACCCAGTCAGCATTAAAAATATACAAAGGTGTTCTCTGCAAAAGGTGTTTAGCTCCTTTTCTTCGCAAAACAGAAAGGAGAATTCTACTGCCTGAGGGTTATAATCCCTAAGTGCGGCCGAAGGCCGCCTACGCAGAAAGGTGTTCTCTGCAAAAGGTGTTCAGCTCCCTTTCTTTGGCAACACAGAAGAGAATTCTACGTAGTGAGGGTTATAATCCCTAAGTGCGGCCGAAGGCCGCCTACGCAGAAAGGTGTTCTCTGCAAAAGGTGTTCAGCCCCCTTTCTTTGGCAACACAGAAGAGAATTCTACGTAGTGAGGGTTATAATCCCTAAGTGCGGCCGAAGGCCGCCTACGCAAAAAGAAGTTCTGCGCTAAAATACTATCATATTACTATTACTACAACATTTCCATCTGTCGCTTTTTTCTTAATTTCACAATATTTTTAGTTAATTTTTTTTTAGTTTATTTTTTTTTTCAAATCGCCTGATAACCAACTTGGGATAATTTCTTTTATTTAAAAATCCCACGGTTTTCGTTAGTTGGGTTATATTCCACTTCAAACTGCCAGTTTGCCTCGGAAAATGCCGTTTTTACCCCATTTTCAAACGGTTCCCTAGGGGTCTGTGGGAGGTCCCCAAGGGGGGTAGGGCTTTTCGTAAAGTGGCGACTGTCCCCTTTCGAATGAGGGGGGTTTGGGGGGCCACGCCCCCTCCGCCTCCCACCCGAAAAACGATGGGCCAATAACTAAACATTTCCCAAAACGAATGTAAGTTTATATACCTTTCTAATTTTACTTCAGATTTACATTGTACCTATTTTATTAGGAAATAAAAACCTGCGTGAAGCCATTATGTGCTTGTCACCGCTCGTATAAAGCGAATATTGCTCGTTTTTATTCCTTTGCGTCCCTCGGTGCCGGAACACATAGTTTTAGAAAACAATAAATAAATCGATATCAAAGTATTCAGTACAAAGTGTTTAGCAAATAAACCGGTATTATCCAGAATCTAAGTTTTATCAGTAACACCCGCAATACAAAATACATGAGGTTGTTGTTGTTGTAATCTAAATACGCCAGTAACACCACCAAGGCGAATTTATACAAGGTGGTGTTACTGGCGAATTTAGATTTTCGCCGCGATACTTATTAATAGTTGTGTTTCTTTAAAAATAATCCAGTAACTTGCCAGCAACTCTCCGGTAACTTTATTTCTAACAATTCGCTATCATAGAAAAAATTTGCAAAAAAGTACGCGAACGCTATTCCAGTAATAATTTGCAAGTTTCATGAATAGCTGATAAATTCGTTGTTTATTCGCAGGAATTTCCTAATAAAACAATATATTTTATATTTAAACAGGTTTAGTTTGTGAATTTCAACACTAAACCCCACAAACAGTTTCCTTATTACTTTAAATTTCATCCAGCGACATGCGATCAGCTGTTTTTCGTACTGGCAAATTCTTACAAGTGCAAATTTATCCAGTAAAATCCACTAAAAACTTGCAACTTCAACTGTCATTTTTCGCTCTCTGAATTTCCCCTACTTTGCAAGTTTTTGCGTACGAAAACGCCAAAACATGAAAATTTGTACAAACTTTTACTGGATTTTACTGGAAATGAGTAAACAAACGCAATTAATATAAGGTGTTTACTGGCGAATTTAGATTTTCCCCTCAGTACTACTGAATGTCAAAATTATGTTTGTTTTAATATGAACTCGCCTTGTTTACAACACACACATCATTTTGACCAAGGCGAATTTATACAAGGTGGTGTTACTGGCGAATTTAGATTTTCACAGCGGTACTTCTTAATGTCCAAGGCGAATTTATACAAGGTGGTGTTGATGTGTGACAAATTATACGCTGAGGTCCATACTGTCATTGGTATGAGTTACAACAAACGCATCATTTTGCCGTAATGGCCTCCACGGCGAAAAACTCAGCTGGCGCCCCAATACCACCTTGTTTAATACATTTTGGCCAAAATGATATGTTTGTTGTAAACAAGGCGAATTCATATTACAACAAACACATCATTTTGACATAAAGAAGTACCGCGGCGAAAATTTAAATTCGCCATCAACACCACCAAGGCGAATTTATACAAGATGGTGTAAAATCAGCTGATTTATTCGCCTTAAATGTATTTTGTTTTTGCTTTTACTGATTTGACAACACACCCATCAAAAGCAAAAACAAAATACATGTAAACTTTGGAGCGAACTGAGATTTGACATAACACCCTCCATACAAAATACATATGGTTGTCGTTGTTGTAATCTAAATTCGCCTTGAACCAAGGCGAATTTATACAAGGTGGTATTGATGGCGAATTTAGATTCTCGCCGCGGTACTTTTCAATGTCAAAATGATGTTTGTTGTAAACAAGGCGAATTCATATTACAACAAACCCACATTTTGACATTAGGAAGTACCGCGGCGAAAACCTAAAATTCGCCAGTAACCAAGGCGAATTTATAGAAGGTGGTGTTCAAGGCAAGGCGAATTTATACAAGGTGGGGTTACTGGCGAATTTAGATTCTCGCCGCGGTACTTTTCAAATGTCAAAATGATGTTTGTCGTAAACAAGGCGAATTTATATTACAACAAACACATCATTTTGACATAAAGAAGTACCGCGGCGAAAATCTAAATTCGCCATCAACACCACCTTGTATAAATTCGCCTTGGTTCAAGGCGAATTTAGATTACAACAACGACAACCATATGTATTTTGTATGGAGGGTGTTATGTCAAATCTCAGTTCGCTCCAAAGTTTACATGTATTTTGTTTTTGCTTTTGATGGGTGTGCTGTCAAATCAGTAAAAGCAAAAAGGATTCCAAAAAATTTGATTGAAAAGTTTAAAATTTGCATGAAAATTTATTGAATTTTATATATCTGTGGACATTGACAAAATAATTTAAGTCTGTAAATAGTATATGTCGACAAAATATATTTTACCGTCAAGGAGAAACATGTGCAATTCGAGAGAAATGCTAAATTATTTTATCGCTATTCGCAACCTTTAAAAATGTTTTTGTTTGCAACAACTGCATGTTTTAATATAAATAAAAATTATAGCTTTGAAGGCAAAAAGAGCTTTGCCGACTTATGTATGCTATTTTCTTTGTCCGTGAAAGATAGACTTAAGTTGTTTGGTCAAATGTCCACAGATATATAATATTACACTTTTTTTTTTTTTGTTGTAGAATGCACCATATTTTTACAAAAAAAGGTAATTCTCTAGGGTGGGGTAACAACCCCTAAAAAAGGTGCGGAAAAGTCGGGAGGGGTACCATACGACACGTTTCGGCCCCCCTAATAACAATCCGGAGGGGGCAGATAATATTATTAACCATTTAAAAGTTATGAACAAAAAACTTTTGTTAAATTTCGTTGTTTTCTATGAGCAATTACCACGTCAAAAATGCAAAAAATGCCGGTTGTTCAATGTCTGATTAGCACAAATCGGAGGTAGAAGCTCCGGTTAAGCACAACTACTGCTTTATCGATCACATGTTACATGCATGATGTCGAAATCGTCGATAGTGTGGTGGGAGTGATAACCAGACATTGAACAACCGGCCCTAAAAACGTTTCCGGTTATTATTTTATGCAAACCAAATCATTTATTCACTTTTATTTTATATATTTCGTTAATAAAACAGAGTAAACAAACTTTGCGCCTGCTAAAATTATTATAACCTCAAATCGCTGGTATTGCCACTTTATTTCACATTTCATTTGCGCTATTATACTCAGTTTACACTATACACTTCTTCTTCTTCTGTAGCTCGTTTCTGTAAAAATTCTCTACCAAGACGAATTGAGATATGAATTCGCCGCCCTGTTCTCTACTGCTAACTGCCGTCCCTAAATTGGAGCGCTAAGCGTTGCGTTATCCATTGTCGACGAGTGTCAGCGCGCGCTATCCCCAAATCAACGCGTCGTAATTTTTGACGTTTTCTCAGATCCTCTCGTTTTTATTCTCGTTTCCTCTTTCACTTTTTTGTCCTTTCTCTTTCTTTCCGTCTTCCGCATCCAACTTCAACACGTAACGCCCTGTCAAAAATGAAAATTCCATTTGCTCGGCGTTAGCGCCGCGTTATTGTGGGATGCTTCATACAAATTGTAAGGGCATGAGGATTTTTGACAGTTGTTTGGCGCTTGACGCGCCAAATTAGGGATGGCAGTAATGAGTAGTAGAGAATGACGTATATTCTCTACCAGTAGAGAAATAATCGGTAGAGAAGAGTTACAGAAACGAGCTACTGTTCAATCCTCAGTATATCCAGTAAACAAACTTAGCTATTTTTTTTCGCCAAGTTTGGTCCCCATAAAGGACTAGTGTTGCAAGCAACGCTTTTTCGGCAATTAGGGTGTTGTGCAGCTATTTAATGTGGTGAAAATTATTTAAGCACTGGGGAGATTTATTCACATGGAATTGGAGATTGGGCTAATAGATTTATTTTAAATAAATTGTGAATCTGCGAAAATATCTTTTCAGCAGATGGATACACTTTTTAACCTTTTTCCCGAAAATGTACATACAGGCTCGAAAATATGCGAGTAACATTAGGTTTGTATAGTAACAGTAACATTGCAGCGAGAGCGTAAAAGCAAAATAGAGCGTTAAATTGAGAAGAAGAGAAAACTAGCAGAAGAACTTATTGAACACAAAACTAGCAATAACTTGCAAGTGAACAGTTGTTGCACTGCTTTGACAATCTGCTGTAAACATTTTACTATTTATAAATCAGTTTTAAACTCTTTGCTTTACACACAAGCACTAACACTGTCCAGTACATCATTAATATTTTTGTTTCCACTCATTTTACTTTTGTTTGTGCCAAGGCGAATCAATATAAGGTGATTGCAGGAGTACAAAAACAAAAATTTACATGTATTTTGTTTTTGCTTTGGCGGCATAAACTGTCAAAACCTGTAAGTGTGAGTAGAAATTCAAACAAAATTTTTCAATTTGATATCAGAAGCCGTGCGGCGAAACACATACACAAAATGAACTGAGCTAGTAACACCACTTTTTATATATTCTTTTGACATTTATTCTAATTCTTCTTCTTCTGCTAGCTAATTTCTGCTAGTAAAAATTTCACTAGCAAGAATTTGCAGCTCTCTCGTGTTGTTACGCTCTCGATTCAGTGCTCTCTTGCAAATTTTTTGGGTTATCATACACTTTTCCAGTAAAAGTTTGCAGGTTCCAGTACAAATTAGTACTGACTATTGGTAATTTTACAAACCTATTCAAATATCGTCGCCTGGATGGAAAATTGCCGGAAGCGTCATTTTGACAATTTGTGGTTTTTGGATATCTTCTTTAGTTTCCGACTAATTGACTAAAATTTTTTCGGTTATTTGGTACAAATTGCGTTAGTATTGCTGTCGTACTAAACTAATCAAGATCTTTCAAATAGAGATATCTGTTCTTCTTTAGTTTCCGACATATTCATCTTTATCATGAGTTTCATTTTCTATAACCGGGTCACTTTTCGTTTGCGAGTGTTCACTACAGGTGGATGAAAAAATTGTTGGCGAAATTTTGTTCGGGCGAAACTCACGATTAGGCTGATTAGTAAAAAGTATGGTTAATTTATAAAAATTGTTATCACATTTTGGCGTATATCACTAAAACTGACTGCAAATTTTTTGACAAATGTCGTATACGACAAAATTTTATTAAACTCATAAATGGTTGACACTAAACTAAAAAAAATAAGATAATTTAAGAATTTCATGAACTAGTACATAGCATTCTCCGACACTTGGAGAAAATCTTTAGTCGTGTTTCTGAGAAATTGCATTGCAAACTTCAATCGTGAGTTACCGAAAGTAACTTGTGACAATCTTTTATCCAGGGATCTACATAAATTATAATTGTCATTATTTTCGTTGTTGGAGTATATGCCAGACGAGTAACAGGTATATACATACAAGGATACCTAAATTAGCGCGTTGAACTTGTATATTTATCTCTCTCCAACGCATTAATTCTATATACGTAGGTACCAACGCCTGACAAAGTTATGTCTAAATTTAATAATGGCTCTATGACAAAATATTGATGGAATGTATTCGTAGATTTTTATTTACTTCATTTCATACATTAGCATTGATGTTTTGTTTTTCATACATTAGTATTGATGTTTTTTACTAAATACCAGGAATAAATATTTAATAAAAAACTATTTCATTTAAGCTTAACCAACTTTTAGTTGCTCGGAGCTAATTTTGGAACGCTTCACGAAACATTTTCATAGACAGTAAGTGCAACCCTGGGTGCTTCATTAACGAGCTGAAAAACCAAACAAATAAAAAAATTCCATCTGAACCAATATTCCCAAAAATTATAAAGCAAAACAAAAACCATTTTTTCCAATTTATGCACTGTTATTTTTATTATTGCAATACAATTTCGCAGCTCTTCAAACATTTTCCACATTATGCTTTTAGGGCTAGTAGTTTCCGACCCCATTTGCTCGTTTTTTTTTCAATTCTGAATTTAGGCTAGGCTTCATGGGAACTTACTGCGGGTGCAAACAGACCACATTTTGTAAACTGAATTGTGATATTTAATTTTATTTTATAATGAAAAATGAATTTAATGTGCAATTTTTTAAGTTTACTAGATGTAAGACAACTTTTAATTTTCTTTATATATTGCATGTTTTAGTTTTAATTCTGTTTAAGTTAAGTTGTAAAGGTGAAAATAGGCCTCCTGGGCAACCGAGCACATTAAACAAAAAATCGGTAACGCGCGTAAAAGCATACCTCACAAGTGGTGTGGAAAATGCAAGAACAAATATAAATGGAATAATTTTCGAAATTATGAAATGGTTATTGGTATTTTCAATCTCAAAGGGGGTGATTAATTTGAACGTTATTTAAGCTGCCTTTACACGGTCGATTTTTGTCGTTTAACCAAAATCTACCCGTGTAAATTGCAATTCAACCGTAAAATATAAGCGTTTTGGCTAGTCGATATCTTAAGTAAATTTTCCAGTCGACAGAAATCGACCCGTGAAAAGACAACTTCAGGAATTTTTTAATTTTCTTTTTTTTTTTTTGCTTGGGCGTCTTTTGAAGATGTGCCAAATTATATTGTCTACTTAAATACAAAACAACAATTTCTTTAAGCCATCTTGTGCAGCAATTTGTTGATCTTATCCTCACGGCTACCGAAATCACCAACCTCAACGTAGTGATTAGCCTTCTTGCGCCAGCCTCGGGTTGATGTGTTGAGCTTGAATAGCAACAGGAAGTTGGGGGCTTTCTTGAAGTGAAGTGAATCAACGCACTGAATTTCGTGCGCTTCGCGAAATTTGCGTTCGATCACAAAGCAGAGATTGGGACACGCTTGACCATTCAACGTTTGTACATCAATTCACAAACTGATTTAAGATTTCGATAACCCCATATAGGGGGTTCGGCATACGTAGCATATTAATGGTTGCCTTGCTCAATTTGATGAACACACCGTTTTAATGTGGCGAAGACAGAACTGTAAAACTACGCACTTTTTGTGCAACTTTGTTGATACCGCGGATGCGGATCACAAAAGCCAATTTGGATTTTTCAGGCCCGTCGAATTGGCCGTATTTCTTTGCCACACAGCGCTACTCCATCTCACGGCGTCCATCACAGAGTTTTCTTGTTTGATATTTCTCAGCATGCACCAAGTTTTCACATTTACGGAGTGCAATCACAGCAGTGCGCTTTAGTTTACGTTTGATCAGGGTAGCAATTTGCTGACCTGCTCTTGCAGAACTGCAGCTTCGGCTCGGGGACAGGAGGCAGGTTCCTGGAAGGTTGTCTGCCCTTTGCTTGCGGTTTCTTACCGGCCGTGATGGCAGTCATCTTAACTTGTTACTTAGCACGCTGAAAAGGCGAAAAAAAGTTCGCCAAATGTTTGGAGCACATCGTAAATGAGCCACTCGATTTATAACATTTCTATAAACAATTTAATTAAATACTTTTTATACATAGATATGCTGCAACCATGCACTTACTTTCCCAAATTCCATCCTGCTTATCGGCATAATTTTCCAAATATGCCTGCTACTTCATTACTAATTACTCAATTTTCCAACTGCGCCTTCTTCGTTGGCTCGACATATCCTAAAAAGACAAATTTACATTAAACAATAGAAATCGCAAAAATTAGCAAATAAAATACTCGCTTTGTTTTGTTTTGTTGTCAAATTTCTGAGAAATGTGAATTCACCACGATGCGATACAGAAAGAACAAGGACCACGGATGTAATTTTAAGTAAACCTATTATTCAGTGGCAAGGCGCAGAGCGTTCGGGGCAGCAATATTAATTTGAATCAAATATAACATTAAACGGTGGTTCTAATACATTTTTTGATATTATTAACCAGAGTACATACATTATATGGTATTTCTTTCAAAATTAATGTACTATATGAACTTTTTTTTCAAATATTTCTTAAGTTTCTTTCATGAGTGCTGAAAAGCAACCATGCGTGTAAGAAATTGTGTGCTACCTAAAATTTCACCTCTGGAAACTTTATCCCCATAAAGGACTTCACCACAGTTTTTTTACTGGATATACTGAGCTTTTGCCCTGCGTGTTTAATATTAGCAACTTTGTGTAGGAATTCATTAATGCACATGGCAGCAGATTTACCTTTTCGATAAGCATAGCTCCTGTCTGGATATGAATTTTTACTGTTTAAAAATTCCTCTAGTCTACCCTTGACCATGAGATTTATTGTCTTTATTAAAACAGATATCAGAGATATCGGTCGAAAATTCTTATAATCACTTACGTCCTTGTCCGCCTTGGGTATCGGTACCACCCTTATTCTACGGAGTGAGACGTCAATTTTACAATTTTGAAAAGCATCATTAAAAGAAATGAGTAGGTTTTTTTGCGCCGTTTCCGACAGAGCTCGTAGCATTTCGTATGTGATCTGATCACACCCCCTGCTGACCTTTACGTTTTCTTTTTTAGAACATTTTTCAGTTCCTCTTCCCCAAAAGCAGGCACCCAGGACTCCAGGTCATCCACTTTTTGTGCACTTTCATTATTATTGGTATTTGCATCTTGTCTAACCTGATTTTTCAGATGCTGCAGGTACACTCTATTGTTCGTGTCGTCCCACTGTTGCTTGGATTCCGAAGATCCCGCATTTTTAATATTTTTTACGAATTTCCATGCCTCTCTGGTGTTGGGGTGACTATTGAGTGAGTTAAGATTTTTGCTGTAGTTTTCCTTTTTAGCTTCTTCTACCGCGTTTTTCCAGTTTTCCTTGGCTTCAGTCGCTTCCTTAAAGTTTTGAGCCGTGGGATACTTGTTGCACTTTTTGTTTGCAGCTAGTTGTAGCCTGAACAGTTTTTCCAAACCTTCATGCCACCAGGACTTGGGACGTCGCGTATCCTTGACAGTGAAAGTGGAATTATTAATTTCGCTTGATATCGTTTTCTCAATTTGGTTGATGTTAGTGTCCAGCTTGGTAGTGCCTAAGTTGATGAACAGATGTTTTTTAGCAAGGAAAACAGGATTTCTTTTTTCGATCTTATCTAAGTGTATCACAATGGGGTAGTGGTGGCGGCCACCTAATTGACAGGGGACCACTTCCCACGTTGTCTTTGTTGCAATGTTAGTGAGAGTTAGGTCCAATACAGAGCCCCTAGCAGCTCCTAAGTTCGCTTTGAAGGTTATTGACCCGTTGTTTAAACAGGTAAAACTTGAGTTATTTACAAAGTTTCTAAAAAAGTAGCCTCTACTGGATTCAATAACATCTCCCCACTCAGGTGTCCGGGCGTTAAAGTCCCCACATATCAGAACGTTCTGATATACTTCCAATGCTGTAAAAAGTTTCAATATTGCTTCCTTAAAAACCCCAACCCTTAAGGAAGGCTCAAAGTACACAGCACATATTACCAAGTTTCGAGCAAGGTTACCAGTTTGAACAATACATATGTCATGATTTGTATCAAAATTTATCTTACGGAATTTGATGGACTTTCTAAGGCCAATGGCCACCCCCCCATATCCATCATTTCTATTCTTTTTTATAATGTTGAAATTTAGAATGTTTTTCTTCACTACATACGACTCCTGAGAGAAAGTTTCGCTCAGGCAAAAAATGTCTATGTTGTACTTGTTTACATAGAATTCAACATGATTAATATTTTTATTTAAAGACTGACAGTTATGTTGCAGAATCTTCATGTACTTCTATACTTGAAAGCGCATTATTAGTAATGAACTTGTGGTCTAAATCTAAGTAGAATTTCTTGAGTCTATCATCAAAGTGAGCAAAGGCGGTTACCCCTGCTGGAAAATCGATTCTTCTAAAAGCATCACTTGCAAATTTAATCATTTCCGAAACCAGTTTCTCCATTTCGGACACAATGTGTACATTTTGTTTTTTCAAAGCCACACCATAGGCTTCCATTGAGGCTACCCTCTTTTTTGTTTTCTCAGTCATGTCCTCACTGACTTCAATATATTTCTTTTTTTTTAATTGACTGGTTTTGTTTTGTCTGTGTTTTGCCATTGCTGCGTAGCTTTTATGTGTTAGAATCTCGTTTACTTCCGCATCCCTGTCTCTTATGGTTTCTCGACGTTGACCTAAGCCAGGAAACTCGTCCTCATCTAACAAGCTAAAACGATTTGACGCAAAAGGCGTGTAAGTCTTTATTACTTCCCTCCTAGTTAGTTTTTTAATTATCATTATTTTCCGACTTTGAACATTTTTTCTTTTCGTTTGCTACATGATTTTCATCACCACAGAGAAGCACTTGGTTTTGTTGCAAGCTGGCACACAGCCCCCTTGGTTACCGCATTTAAGACACCTTTTGTTCGCCCTGCAGGCTTTTCCAGTATGTCCCAACCTACCGCAGTTTAGACACTGACGTAAGAAAGGGTAGAAATACTCAACTTCAATGATCGTGTAGTTTAATTTTATTTCTTTCGGCAAATTATTTGAGGCAAAGCCAATTTTGACAGAGAAAGTTGGGATTCGATTTTCAGATTCGCTACTCTCACGCCTTGTAAACCTTTGTACCGAAGTTATTTTGACTTCAGAAATTGCATTCGACTTTATTTCATCTTCCGTAATGTCTAGAGGTATGTCCCTAATAACCCCATATGTTTCAATGAATGACCTCGGAATGAAGGCTCTCATTTGCTTTTCTTGTAGTTTTTTGTTTCTTAAAATGTCATTTGCCGATTTCACATTTGTTACCCCCAGCTTAAATAGAGTCACCCCTATTGCCATAATGGTATTGTGGCGAATACTGCGGCAACACAAAGCGAACAACGAGAAATAGGCAGAATGTTCGAGGAATGACGTAGAATGTTCCACAAAGAGAAACGTCAAGTTGGATGAACACTGCGAACAGCGAGAGAAAGAGAATGAGCGATAAACTTCAGAACGTTCTAGAGTTGCCATAAGTGTGAGCGCAGGTATATAAGAGCCACGACACAGCGGAGCTGAGACAGTTACAAGTCAGCAAGCTACAAGTAAAGTGAGCGGAGAATCGAGTTGCGAATAAGCAAGCTATAAGTTTAATTGTGTTAACAAGTAGTAAAGCGTTGTTATTGCTTTAACAAGTATTGTAAAGTGTTTTTACTGTATTAGCAAGTATTGTAAATTGTTTGTTGTACAATAAAGTTAATTGTACTACAATTCGGTCATCGTTAGCATTTATTTAACAATCCAGCGATACGAGCCCGAGTATATTTGGGTAATCCCTCAAGGTTTCGAGGATAATCGTAACAATTGGTGTCAGAAGTGGGATTGTTAAATAAATCCCGAAGGATAAACTACTGAAAATGGCGAAAATTCAGGACTTAAAGATTGAGGAGCTGAAACAGGAGTTGGAAAAGCGTAATTTGGCCACCTCCGGAAGAAAAGTGGAATTGTTATCCCGGTTGCGAGAGGCTATGGAAGCTGAAGGCATCGACGTGGACAAATACGACTTCCAAGGTAAACCCGACGATACATCCGCAAAGGACGAACAGAAGGATGAGGCTGCATGTGCGTCGAAGGATGTGCAACAGACATCCGGGAAGGTTGAAGAACAGCAAAAGGCTCCTTCGTCATCAACAGTTATGGACATGAACACATTGTTATCTGCCATGTCACAGATGATGCAAGCACAGGATACACGCATGTCAGAGATGTCATCACAGCTGTCGTCACAGATGCAAACACAGTTGTCAGATATTTCGTCGCAGCTACAGGCACAGAAGACACACGTATCACAGTTGCTGGAAGTCCAGGATGCAAAGATTACACAACTGCAGGAGAATTTGGCTAGAGATAACGAACAAATCAAGGATAGACAGGATAAAGTCGAGGCTAAGGTAGAAGAGTTGGAAGGTCGCCTCCGAGATATGCAGTTGAATCGTCCAGCTACTTCGACGAGCGCACCCAAAGTAAAAACCCCATCCTTTGACGGCACGATTCCTTTCCAGGTCTTTAAGCTCCAGTTCGAAAAAACGGCTGCAGCAAATCATTGGAGCATGGAGGATAAATCCGCTGCACTATTCGTTGCATTGAAAGGACCTGCGGCAGAAATCTTGCAGACTATTCCCGACTGTGAAAGGAACAGTTACGATGCGTTAATGGGTGCAGTGGAAAGACGTTATGGTAGCGAGCACCGGAGACAGATTTACCAGATGGAACTGGAGAATCGCTGCCAGAAATCCAATGAGACTTTACAGGAATTCGCCTATGAGGTTGAAAGGTTGGCTCATTTGGCAACTGGAGATGCATCTGGTGAGCACCTCGAAAGAGTAAAAATCCAGAGGTTCATCAACGGAATGCGGGACGTGTATACCAAGCGCGAGACGTATGCAAATCCAAAGCCAACATTTTCTGAAACGGTCTCGTATGCTCAGACACGTGAAACGGCAGCGCTCCTAAGTAGACCAGCCTACAAAGCCCATCGAGTAGAAGTGGAAACACCTGACGTGATGAACGAGATCCTGAAAACACTCAAGTCGATGGCAGGGAAGAATACTCCTGGTGCAACCGAGAGGAATGATGGTGCTAGAAAATGTTTTAGTTGCGGAAAACCAGGCCACTTCGCACGCGAATGTAAGACGGGTTCCAACAGGTCAAACAGTTCAGCAGTACGTAAACGCAGGACTGAGGATGACGAGCCCAACTCCGACTAGTCGTTAAACTAAAACGACTCCCGCAATTGAATGCCCCATAATCTCCGTCTCGCGAATTGGCAGAAAGGCGAGCAACGTTACTGTTGGTGGATATGTGGGCGGACATGAGCGAGTACTAACTGTGGATACGGGCGCATCACATTCCATCATTCGATCTGATTTGGTCACTAAAGATGTAAGGCCATTACCTGGAGCAAGGTTGAGGACAGCAACTGGTGAGGACACCCAAGTTGTAGGAGAGGTAACATGCAAAGTCGCAATAGGGAATGTGACGGTGTTACACAAGTTCATAGTCGCGGCGATTATGGATGAAGTCATCATTGGATTAGACTTTTTATTTGGTCAAGGTATGAAGATCGACATGAAGAACAGGATCATGACGTACGACAACATGGAAGTGCCCCTTAGGTTTGGGTATGATGGTCCGTACAGCAGCAAGCGAGTGATCCTAGAGGAAAGCGAGCAGATTCCACCGAAGTCAGAAGCAGTTGTGTGGGCAAAGATTGATGGAGATTGTGGGACAAACAAATTGTGGGTTGTTGAAGCGACACAAAATTCTACACCGGACGTACTTATTGGTAAAACCCTGGCTAAGACGCAAAAGGATGGACGCATCCCAGTTCGAGTGCTCAATGAGTTCAAATCACCAGTCAAACTCCGAAGAGGAACTGTACTGGGGCAATGTCGAGAGGTAGAGGCAATCTTCAACTGCGAAAAGTTACCTGAAAGCGATTCCATTGGCGAGAATGACATTGCGGAAGACATTAATGCATGGACGGAAGGGTTGGAAGAAAAATACCAGCACAAGGCTAAGGAACTTCTCCGAAGATACTGCAACATATTCGACAAGGATGGCGACAAACCAGGCAGGACTAACGTTGTGAAACATCGCATTGATACTGGCGATGCAAGGCCAATCCGTCAAGCTCCTCGGAGTGTTCCACTTGCCAAACGTGAAACTGTTAGCCAAATAATAAACGAAATGAGCGAGAGTGGTGTGATTGAACCATCAGCGAGTCCATGGAGTTCGCCGGTAGTACTTGTGAAGAAGAAGGATGGTCAAATGCGGTTCTGCGTAGACTACCGGAAACTAAACGATGTGACGAAAAAGGACAGCTATCCTCTTCCCAGGATCGATGACACTCTGGACTCGTTGACTGGAACAAAGTGGTTCTCAACACTCGACCTTAAGAGCGGTTATTGGCAAGTGGAGGTAAGTGACGAAGATAAGGAGAAGACAGCTTTCAGCGTTGGAGACGGTCTGTGGCAATTCACGGTGATGCCCTTTGGATTATGCAACGCTCCTGCCACTTTTGAACGACTTATGGACCATGTGCTCAAAGGACTGCATTGGAAAACATGTTTGGTGTATCTAGACGACATTATCGTATTGGGTAAAAGCTTTGAGGAACACCTGAACAATTTGAAAGAAGTTTTCCAGAGGATAGCTGGCGCTGGTCTGAAGCTAAGTCCTAAAAAGTGCTCACTGTTCAGGAAGGAGGTGAACTACTTAGGGCACAAGGTGACAACGGAGGGCATCTGTACTGCGAAGGAAAAGATAGAAGCAGTAAAGGATTGGCCAAGACCTAGGAACCTGCACGAACTACGAAGTTTTCTTGGGCTATGCACCTATTACCGCCGATTTGTTCCGAATTTCGCCAGCGTTGCTAATAGCCTCCACGAGCTCACTAGGAAAAATAGAGCCTTCGAGTGGAACAAGGAGCAGGAGGAGGCTTTCCAGACTCTGAAGGAACGACTATGTACTGCACCTATGCTAGCGTATCCCGTTCCAGGGGCAACGTTTATTTTGGATACGGATGCTAGTGGTTATGCCATAGGAGGCGTACTGTCGCAGGTAATTGATGGGCAGGAGAAGGTAGTTGCCTACTATAGCCGGTCGATTGGAAAACCAGAGAGGAACTACTGCGTAACTCGGAGAGAACTACTAGCGTTGGTGGACTGCGTCAAACATTTCCACAAGTACCTCTATGGGCAACGTTTCCGAGTTCGAACGGACCATGTAGCGCTGAAGTGGCTACTACAGTTTAAGAATCCAGAAGGACAGCTAGCTCGGTGGATTGAGAGACTGCAAAGTTATGACTTCGCTATTGAGCACCGCAAGGGAAGTGTCCACGGTAATGCAGATGCCATGTCCCTCCGACCATGTAGCCTGGAATGTAAACACTGCTCAAAAGCTGAGGGAAAAGAGGACATTATAGACGTCCGTCTAACGACAATAACACCAGCGGAAGAGTGGAAGGAAGAACAGCTACGAAAGTGTCAGCAGGAAGATCCAGATCTGGAGCTTTTGATGCATGGACTGGAGGTGGACAGGAGGCCAACTAAGGAGCAAATGGCAGCGGAAAGGCCCATCGCAAAGGCGTACTGGGCACAATGGAACAGCTTAAAATTAATATCTGGCTGTTTGCATAGGGTATGGGAAAGCGAAGATGGCCAGTGCTCCCGCAACCTGATAGTAGTTCCAAGGGTAAGAATTCCGGATGTACTCAAGGAATTCCACAATGGTCCTAGTGGAGGGCAGCTGGGAATAACGAAGACCTTGGAGAAGGTTAAGCAGAGGTTCTATTGGGTTGGTTGTCGGCAATCGGTCGCAGAGTGGATTGCTAACTGCGCGGAGTGTATTGCAGCTAAGGGGCCGAAATCCAGAAGTCATGGCCAGATGACGCAATATAACTCAGGTGCACCTTTCGAGCGGATTGCCATGGATGTAGCCGGTCCATTTCCTATGAGCGCACAGGGAAACAAATACGTCCTTGTGGTTATGGACTACTTTAGCAAATGGCCGGAGGTATACCCGATTCCAAACCAGGGAGCTAAAACAGTAGCGGAGGTATTCACCTACAATTGGGTTGCGAGATACGGTGTACCTATAGTGCTGCACTCTGACCAGGGAAGAAATTTTGAGTCCGCAGTGTTCCAAGAGATGTGCCAGATACTGGGTATCCGGAAAACTCGAACGACGGCTCTTCATCCCCAATCAGACGGCATGGTGGAACGGTTCAACCGAACCCTGGAAGAGCATTTGCGGAAGGTCGTGGACAAGAATCAAAAAGATTGGGATGTCCGCATACCCTTGTTCCTGATGGGATACCGGTCAGCAGTGCATGAAACAACGGGTAAAACTCCTGCAAG